GGTATTTAGAGGTGGAGCCTTTGGGAGGTCATTAGAGTTAGATGAGGTCAGGAGGGTGGGGCCCCCATGACGGTATTAGTGCTCTTATAAGAAGAGGAAGAGACCAGAGCTCTCTCTCTCTCTCTCTTCACCATGTGAAGACACAGCAAGAAGGCTGCTGTCTGCAAGCCAGGAAGAGAGCCCTCACCAGAACTTGACCAACTGGAACCCTGATCTCGGACTTCCAGCCTCCAGAATGGTGAGAACATAAATGTCTATTGCTTAAGCCTCAAGCCTGTGGCAGTCTGTTATGGCAGCCCACGCTGACCCCTGTTTTACCAGCACAAAAAACATCATGCATCCAGCAGGTGCACAAAAACATCTGTTAAGTGGACATATGAATGGAACTAGAGCTGTATCATTGTACAACTCCCAGGGCTGGTGGTTGAAATTAAAAAGAACTTCCCATGAGTGGGCTTTATTTAAAAAAAAAAAACAAAGCAAAACAAAAAAACAAACCCTAAATTCTTCTAACAGAAGTGGTAGCATTTCCTTTTTTATTTTTTCAGTTCTTAAAGAAGTAGCCAGTTTTTTATCTCTGGGGATCCGCACAGGCCCAATATTGGCAGAAACTCCAATATTCTCTGTACACCTGGTTCATGGCTCCTGAAAATACAACCTCTGAGGACTTTTTCTGTCACGACAAATCTATCCAGTTGGCCACTTTCCAGGAGGCTCTGGAGGTAGCAGGCCACAATGAAACTCAGCACCCTGGGGTGACGGTGATGCGACGTCCTTTATGGGGCCAAGAGGAGGGCACTCGGTAGCCCCACTGCCGCTCTGGGCCACCCAGGTCATCCCTGGGCAGTTCTTCCTACTTAGACTCTAGGTCGTGCTAGATAAGGCTCAGAAAGGATGCGAATAAAATGTAAAAAATAAAATAAAATGAAGGTGGAAAGAAAGGAAGCATATAAAGCAAAATAATTGCAACAATATAAAAGCCTCATGTAGGTGCAATAAAGAGCGATCGGATTGAAAGCTGCTGATATAGCCGAATCCATAAAAGTGTGCTCTAAGTTGTTTATTACATGCCGGGGCGCGCAGGTACCATGGCCCAGATTAATGGGGCACAAGGAGGAGACAGACAGTTAGAGCCCACGCCGAGCGCCGCACGGCACAGCTGGGCAAACAGAGAACCTTCCAGGAAGGCCAGCTCCAGGCGGAGATTAAAAACAGAGGCTGAGGGCTGCCCTGGGCCTCAGGGCTGGGTTGGGAGCAATGGAGGGAGATTGACACCCAGCAAGGGACCCTGAAGCATGTGCCCCCGGGCCTAGGCATGTGGGGCTCAAGGGGGACCACAGGGCTCAGGGATCCTGACCCAACGAGGGAGAGCCTGGGGGCTCAGGAAGACCTGAGTTCAGAGTCTTCTTCGGCTCTAGGTGTCCTGAGGGGTGACCTTGATAGGCTACACCATCCCACCGAGTCTCAGTTTTCTCAGTGGCAAAATGAGAATAAAGATCATTATCTCTAAGGGTTGTGTGAATTCAGCCCCCAGCTCAACACATCTTTCCAGGGTGAGTGCTTGGTATGTGCCAGGCTGTGTATCAGGCGCCGGAGATTCCCCACTGAGCGAGACAGGCAGGGGTCTGTCCTCACGGAGGACACGGCCTGGGAGGAATTCCTGTCAATGCTGACAGGTTTAATGAAGTACAGATGCATAAATGACAGTCCCCCCTCCTGGGGATCTGCCTGCCAGGAGACCTCTCCCCCTCTCCCCCAGGCCAAGTGTTGGGCCAGAGGCTGTTGAGAGGAGAAAGTCCCATGCCCTTGGGGGCGTCTGGACTGAGAAAGAGAGGAGGCACTCAAGCACTGCCTGGGCACTGGAGTGGGTGGGGGCTTCACGGAAGCTGGGGGAACTTGAATGGGACTCAGAGAAGTGAGGAGAAGGGGCATTTTAGTGAGGGCGGGTGTGGACACGATGCTGCGGTGGCCCTCAGAGCACTAGGATGAATGAAGGGTGGCTAGCCACAGAGCAGGGGTGATGGGTCCTGGCTCACGTGCGGGCCCTTCCTGGGCCACTCCCCTCTACCTCCAAGGGAAAATGCTGATTGGATATAGAGCTTTTCCTGGCTGAGCCAGGATGGGTCCTCAGAATCCTTCTTAACCCAGTGCAAGCAATAGATCAGAGCTGGCATGTGAGGCAAAACCCAATTTCCATTCTTGCTGGGGGAGTAAAGGCAGACTACATTGGGAGAGGTGAGACTGGGGCCAGATTCCTGAGGATTTACAAATCTGGCTCTGGGATGGACGTTGACCCTAGGTGGGCGCAGTGGTAACAGAGGGGATGACAGACAGGAGGACAGAGTCAACAGGGCGTGGTGATGGTCTGGGGGGTGGAGGAAGACGGAAGCCCCGACGACAGTTTGGGCCCTTTTTAGAGGAAAGGGGGAAGCCCGAGAGGAGCTGGTTTTCAAAGAAGGGGGCCAATTTGGGTTTTGTCACGCTGAGCTGGAGGTGGTGGCGGGCTGTTGGAATGCGGAGGTTCAGAGATACGAGGTGGGAGCCCCGCTGGTGACAGGGGCTGGTGGCCGCTTGTGCACACATGCCAGGTGACACAGCAGGAGACTGTCGAGACCTGGGGAGCAGGGACACAGGAGAGAATGAGAGGAACCAAGGGCGGAGAAGCAGACACTAGGTGTGGTCACTCTGGGGAGGAGGAAGATGACGGTGGCAGGGAGAACCGCAAGAAACACAGAGTGGGTGGCAGGCCCCGGAAGCTCAGGGAGTGCGGGTGCCAGGGAGCGGGGCCAACAGGGCCACACGTCTGGAGGGCAGGCAGCTAGCAGAGGCCAGGATGCGGGGATGAAGACCAAGGGTGGGGAGGGAGGAGGAGCGAGTCTTGGTGACTTCTGACAACGTGAGAAAGGGGACAACAGGATGCCCTTCAGTGGTCAGCAGCCTGGAAGGAAGACTGAGCCCACGAGGACGGAGCCACGAGATGACACGGTGCCAGCTTTGCAGTGTGAGGGGCTGGGGTCCCAGTCCTGGTTTTGGCAGGTACGAGTGAATGTCACTGGAAGTGAAGGACGTAACCTCTCTGGCCCCCCGTTGCTCAGCTTTCTTATCTGTGGCCTGCGGACAACGATGATTTGCTCAGCTGCATCTGACAATTGTTATAAGATGAGTTAGGTGAGCCCCGCAGAGTGCCTGGACGGTGCCCGGGACACGGGGGCCCTGCCAGTGGAGGCTTCTGGTGTGACGTGAGGGTAGGACTGAGGACGTCAGAGACAGCCGGGGGGTGGCATGGACTCACCCTCAGCAGGACACGCCTTACTGTCAAGTGCTCTGTGCTGGGAGGGCTGTGCTAAGTCATCTACCTCTCTCCCCAGGTCTCTTGTGACTAACTAGGGTGAGGGGAAGGCCTTGAAGTCTTCAGCCTTGGGGACCCCTCTTAATACCAAGCTCATGCCTATGGGGTCCCTTAGGACCTTGTGGTCCCTGCCAGCCCCAGCCATGAGCTGATGCCAAGATCTGGGGCCTGGGACAAGGTCACGTAGTTGGAGGTGGCTCAGTTTGGGGACCCCTCTTAATACCAAGCTCATGCCTATGGGGTCCCTTAGGACCTTGTGGTCCCTGCCAGCCCCGGCCATGAGCTGATGCCAAGATCTGGGGCCTGGGACAAGGTCACGTAGTTGGAGGTGGCTCA